ATTCCGAGTCAGTTCTTGAGAACTGGGTGAGGGGTGTCTCAATAATGTGCCCTCTACTTTGTTCTTAGTGGAATTTTTCTTTGCTACTCAACAGGCAGTTTCTGTTGTGTTTTGGACTTAAAGTGCTTAAAAGCATATACTTCCTTCCCACCTGTCTGAGTTTAGCAGCTGAAAGGATTAGTCCAGCTGCTCTGCCAGAAAGGGGGTCGGTGCCCTGACCTGGGAAATGAGCAGTGAGGAAAGGAATGGTCTCAAAGGATCTGTGACATCAGAGCTAAACAAACTTAAATTCAACTTTACAAATGTGGACGCTGAAATTTCCATGGATTTAGAGTATTCTGGTTCTGGCTCTGACAATTACCTATTCTGAAGCAGTCGTTAGTATTGTTAAAGGTGATCTTAATTAGTCTGAGCCTGCACGTGTTAGGTATTGAAGGCAAACCCACGGTGTCTGTAACTGTAATTAGTCTTACTGGAATGTCTGTGGACAGTAAATTAGGGCATTGGTTAATAGTATAAAAAACAAGTAATGAGGACCTTATCCTGCCTTTACTCCAGTAAAATATATCCGGTGTTTTAGAAGTATTTTTATTATAATCAAAAGGCTTTGACCACCATTTCTCCCAGAAAGACTGGTCCAGCCACCTACTTGAACTTGGGAACAAACTGGTTGGGTGACTTGTGAGATTGGGTGCTGTGGACTTTTTTTTTCCTCACCCTTTAGGTATTTATCATTTGTTGATTTTTAATCCAGTGTTATCTTGAATGGTAGAAATCTTTTTAGTGCCAAATAGTGGTCTGTTTAGGTGGGATCACATGCTTATCTAGATCAGGGGGTGGGAGTCTATTTATAAAGTAAGTCTTAACAGTTTGGTTTCATATTATAATTCCTACCTTGCCCTTCCTTGGGTCCTAATTTTTGAGTTACAATGTCTGAAGAGCCAATATTGCTGAAAAAGAGATAGAGTATGGTGTATAAACCACTTCTAGTTGAGACTTGGTGTTTAATATTTGGTTTTAAATGTTGAGTTGCGGCTTCAGTAGAACTGAATTAGGCTACGTATATCCTTTCTAAAATTGATTCGAATATAATCAGATCCTACCCCAGCTTGGTAGAACCTAAAAATATTTTTTAAAAAAATACCCCATCTCCCCTTATTTAGACTCCTCAAAGATTGGGCCAGGTGTGGTTGCACACCTTTAATCCTGTCAGAGGTAGACTCCTCTCTGAGTTCCAGGCCACCTGGGGCTGCATAGTGAGGCCCTGTCTAAAAACAGGACATTGGGAGGAGTGTCAGTTTTGGAGGGAGGAGGAAGGAAGTCACATTCTCAGTCCACTCTGGGTTGGGGGCTAGTGGCAAAGTCCCAGCTTTTTAGGAAGCTGAGGCAGGAGGGTTGTAAATTCAACGCAGCCTAAGGTGTGTGGCCATCTCAAAAAGAAGGCTACGGTTATAGTAGTAATCTTGCCTGTCGTGCTTAATCCCCGGTAACAGGAGGGTGTGGGCCTGTGCTCCCCATTTAGAGATGAGCTGGTCTTAGACTATTTGCCCCACCTTAAAATAGTTGGTTTATTTTTGTAGAACTTAGGAAATAAGGGAAACAAGAAGTATGTAATCCACTTTAATCACTGAAGTGTGTACAGGGAAAGTTGATAGTGCTTGTCACCTTTTTCTAATCTTGTGTGGTGACCTTCATTCTCAGACTTAAAACTCCATTGTTTCCTGTGAGGCATGTTTACCAACTTGGGCTGCACAACTCACCTTTCCCCTCCCTTTATCTCCTTTTTTATTTTTGGTTTTTGTTTTATTTTTGCTTTTCTCCAGCTGTGCTTCCTATGTCTTCAGCCTTGAATGTTTCTGCTGCTGTAGGGCAGCCTGCACCTGCCCCTCCTTGCTCCCTGGCCCCCCAGCAAAGCCCTCTAGTAATTGCTAATCAGCCTTCCCCATTCCCTTCGCCTAGTATTTCCTCAACCCCTTTTGAAGTTCCTTTTCCCCAGCCATCTTCTGAAACTGTACCTCTGGGACCTGCCCCTCACACTCCAACTTTCCTTCCACACCTAATAGGGCCTCCCATCTCCCCAGCTGCCTTAGCTTTGGCCTCTCCCATGATAGGTCTAACTCAGAAAGGTGCCCGATCCTCTTCGACCCCCTTGTCTCTGGTTGCAGTGGCTCCTCACTCAGCTCAGAAGAGTTCTGTATCTGCACCTCACCCTCCCAGTTTACCTTCATCAGTTGCTGTAGCAGAGTCAGGGCCATTGGCATCCATTGCACCCTTAGAACCAAAGGTTTCTACTAGTCAAAAACCCTCTCAGGTAGTTCCCAATCTGAAAGGCACTGCCCCAAGTCCTCCAGATGTAGTTGGTGTTTTTCCTTCCCACCTTGAAACTCCCTTGGCCTCTGTTCCACTTGGATTAGCATCCTGTCCTCAAACACTGTCCCACACTTCTCCAGTCAAAGGGATCCCCATTTCCTCAGCCCTGGTGCCACAAAATATGTTAAACCTTAACCTAAACAGACCTGTTAGTTCACCTGCTCAAAACACTATAACTCCCAACATCCTCCCGGCACCCCCTACTTCTCTAGGCTCACCTCTTCCACTTTTACATCATGGTTCTTTGGGTTCTCCTATCCAGCCTTTACATCAGTCAGGTCCTGGTGCTGTGTCAGATCCTACAGTGAGTAATACCATTTCTGTAGATCATTCTGCTGTTGAGGCATCTTACCCATCGGAGCCATCTGTAATTCCTCCCCTTCCTTCCAGACATGAGCTGGTTGCTGATTCTATAGGAGCTCTTTCAGTGGGGACTCCAGCATCTGCCCTGGCTCCATCTGTTGACAGAGGCAATTCTGCTGTTACTAGTGTAATCTGCAGCCCTCCTGGCTGCTCGGGTACAACTGCTGCTTCATTATCTCCTCTGGCCTCTTTAATTCCCAAAGGTTCTAATGTCACTCAGCAGCCTCTGGTGACTCAGATTCCTGCTTCTCCAAAAACTGGGTTAAAAGAAGCTCCTGTCTCGTGTGTTGGAGCCATCCAACCTGCTATGGTTAACCCTTCTACCATTTCTATTGCACCTGCCACTTTTATGTCTCCTTCAGTTTCATCAGGTCCTGTGAGTAATAAAGATATAACTTCCCCTGCTAGCTCACTTGTAGCGCCTGCTGCTCCTGTATCAGCTACTCTAGGAGTACCAGTTTCTTCTCCGCCGGCCACTGAAGGTCTTAAAAATCTCCCCACTTCAGCATTGGTAAATGTAGAAGCCCCTATTTCTCCAGCCCAGGTAGGAGTCTGTACCGGAAAAGACCCCACTCTATTACCCTTGGCAGCATATAAAGAGTCTCCCTCTCCTCAGAGTACATCGCTTTTGGACACTGCGACAAAGAAGACTGCAGAAGGACCTTCACCTGTAGCAAGGGCAGCCATTGCTACTAGTTCTTCCCTGGGTGCTGATCCCTCAACTGCTATCAAGACAGACCCTGTCAGTCTGTCTCTCAAATGTCCTGTCGCTGCCCCTGCAATGGCTCCATTTCTTTTAGAATCTTCTGATCCTAAAGAACTGCCTCCTAGAACTGTCAAGGGTGCCTCTGCTTCTAAAACCTCCATTACTATCTCTTCACCTCTGGTTCCTTTAGCCTCTGAAGTTTGTCCCATGTCTGTGGCTTTTAACCCTCAAAATGTTTCTCTTTCTACGACTACTGAGGCATTGGCTCCTGAAATTCCCAGGTCTCTACCCTTTCCTGCTCCAGTCCCAACTGGGATTTCTTTTTCTGGTGCAAAGAAAGTTGAAGGTATTTCTTCTGTGGTATCTTTAGCCTCCTCTCCTGAAGGGCACACAGAAGACTCGGGTGGTTCTGTGTCTTCTAAAGGAACTCTGGTTTATCCAGCTGATTCTCTGTCTGGTATGTCTCCGCAGACTAAAAGGCCTTCATCCAAGAAGGGTTCTGCTATCTCAGATGTTTCTCCTGCAACTCTGTCTTCTCTTTCTCCACTTGAGGCTGCCCTCCTTCCTGGGGCTTGTCTTTCTTTTCAAGACTCTACAGACTCCCTTGAGCTTTCTCCCGTTTCTTCATCTTCCAAAGGGACCCCTGTTCCTTCAACTGTGGCTCCTCCCTTCCATAAAGGGGCACCCATTGCCCCAACAGAGACCTCTATATCCCCCCAAAAGGCTCCAGCAACCTTGTTTTTCAAAGATAGCCCCACTGTCCCAGCAGAAATTCCTCCTTCCCCTCCAAAGACCATAGAAGCTACGGCTCCTAAACTGGTCCCTCTAATCCAACTCCCTAAAGTGGCCCCGATTGTGCCAGATGTGACTCCCACTTCTCCCAAAAAAACTCCAACAACTCCAGTCCCCAAAGATACTTCAGCAACCCTGTCACTCAAAAGTGTCCCAGCTGTGACTTCTTTGTCTCCCCCAAAGGCCCCTGCAGCCCCATCTCCTAATGGAGCCCCCATTGCTCCAACTGAGATTGCCTCCTCCCTCAAAAATGCCCCAGCAACTATAACCCCCAAAGTTGCCACTACTCTTCCAGATGTGACTTCACCCTCCCCACAAAAGACTCCAAAATCCCCTAAGGGTGCCCCGGCTGTGACTCCTCCCTCCCCACCAAAGTCTGAAGCATTCAGTGAGCCTCTAATAAGCCTATCTCTCAAAGGTGCCCCTACTGCCCTAGCTGGTCCAACCTCCCCTACAAGGACTCCCAAAACTGCAGCCCCCAAAGAAACTCTACCAGAAGGGGTCCCAACTGTGCCACTAGAGATTTCTCCCTCTCTGAAAAAGACCTCAAAAACTGTAGTACCCAGTGAAAGTTCAACAGCCTCATCCTCTAAAAGGTCCCCCAAAATTTCAGCCCCCAAAGAAACGCCAACCCCATCCGATGGGGTTACCACTGCATCTCTGGAAATTCCTCCTTCCCCCAAAACTGTGTCCCCAAAAGAGGTTCCTGTGACTTCATCTCCCAAAGGTGCCCCTGCTACCCTAGCTGAGAGTCCTGCCTCCCTTAAAAAGCTCCCCAAAACTGTAGCCCCCAAAGAAACTTCAGCAACCCCACCTGTAGGGGTCCTAGCTGTGCCAGTAGAGATTTCTCCCTCCCCCAAAAAGGCCTCAAAAACGGCAGCCCCCAATGAAAATTCCACGTCATCCCCAAAAAAGTCCCCCAAAACTTCAGCCCCACCTTCTGAAGGGGTCACCACTGCTCCACTGGAGATTACTCCTTCCCCCAAAAAGTCTCCCAGAACTACAGCCCAGAAACAGATTCCTGCGACTTCATCGCCCAAAGGTGCCCCTACTACCCTAGCTGAGAGTCCTGCCTCCCCTAAAAGGTCCCCCAAAACTGCAACCCCCAAAGAAACTCCAGCAACCCCATCTCCTGAAGGGGTCACAGCTGTGCCACTACAGATCTCTCTTTCCCCCAAAAGGGCCCCCCAAAGTGCAGTCCCCAAAGAATCTTCAGCTCCATCTTCTGAAGAAGTCTTGTCTGCGCCGCAGGAGATTTCTCATTCCCCCGCAACTGCAGCCCCCAAACAGGTTCCTGTGACCCCATCCACCAAAGGTGCCCCTACTACCCTAACTGAGAGTCCTGCCTCCCCTAAAAAGGCCTCCAAAACTGCAGCCCCCAAAGAAACTCCAATAACCCCATCTTCTGAAGGCATCACAGCTGTGCCAGTAGAGATTTCTCTTTCCTCCAAAAAAGCTCCCAAAACGGCAGCCCCCAAAGAAAATTCAGCAACATCATCTCCCAAAAGACTACCCAAAACTGCAGTTCCCAAAGAAGCTCCAACTACCCCATCTTCCGAAGGCATCACAGCTATGCCACTAGAGATGGCTCTCTCCCCTAAAAAGGCCCCCAAAACTGCAGCCCCCAAGGAAAACTCAGCAGTACCATCTCCCAAGAAGTCTCCCAAAACTGCAGCCCCCAAGGAAGCTTTAGCTCCATCTTCTGAAGGAGTCACTACTGCACCACAGGAGATTTCTTCCACCCCAATTGCAGCCCCCAAACAGGTTCCTATGACCAAAGGTGCCCCTGCTACCCTAGCTGAAAGTCCTGCCTCTGCTAAAAAGACTCCCAAAACTGCAGCCCCCAAAGAAACTTCAGTAACCCCATCCCCCCAAAGGGCCTCCAGAACAACAACCCCTAAAGAAACTCCAGCAACCACAACTCCTGAAAGTGTCGCTGCTGTGCCACTAGAGATACCTCTTTCCCCCCAAAAGACCTCAAAAACTGCAACTCCTAAAGAAACTTCAGCAATGACAACCTCCCAAAGGGCTTCCAAAACATCAACCCCCAAAGAAATTCCAGCCCAGCCCTCTAAAGGTGTCTCAGTTGGGCCACTGGAGACTCCTTCCCCCAGAAAGGCCCCTAAGATGTCAGGACCCAAAGAAGCACCCACAGTCCCATCTCCAGAAGGGGTCATAGCTGGGCCACTAGAGATTCCTTCAGCTCCCAAGAAAGCCCCCAAAATGGCAGGCCCCAAAGAAACTCCAGCAAAGCTGTCTTCTGAAGAGGTCACAGCTGTGCCACTAGAGATTACTTGCTCCCCCAAAAAGACCTCAAAAACTGCAGCCCCCAAAGAAAATTCAGCAATGCCGTCCCCCAAAAGATCCCTCAAAACTGCAGCTCCTAAAGAAACTTCAACTCCATCTTCTAAAGGAGTCACTACCGCACCACTAGAGCCTGTTTCTTTTCCCCAAAAGGCCCTTAAGACAGCAGAACCCAAAGAAATACCAGCAGTGTCTCCTGAAGGAGTCACTACTGCACCATGCGAGAATCCTCCCAGCCTGCAGAAGGCCTCAGCACCTACAGCCCCCAGAGCCATCCCTGCTTACACACAGGAGATTGCTGTTTCCTTCGGGGAGACTCCAATAACTCCGGCTGTCCCCCCAGTCAAAAACCCTTCCTCCCGTAAAAAAGCCACTGCAATGCCTGTAGCTCTCAAAGAAGCTCCAGCAGCCCTGTCTCCCAGTGCTGCCCCAGCTATGATTCCTCCCTCTCCCTCAAAGAGTCCAAAAGCATCATCATCCAAAAAGGCACCAAGAACTTCACCCCCTAAAGAATTTCTGGCAGATCCTTCTCTTGAAGCTGTCACTTCACTACCAGAGATGGCTTCCTCTTCGCAAAAGGCCCCAGCAACTACAGCCCCCAAAGAGAATTCAACAACCCAGTCCATTAAATGCAACTCCACTATCACAACTGTTACTCCTATCTCCAAAAAGACCCCAGCAGCCCCGTCTCCTGGAGGTGCTTCCATTGCCCCAACTGGGACTTCTCTTTCCCCAAATCCCCCAGTCAAGATTTTCCCCTCTAATAAGGCCCTAGCTCCCACATCTCCTGAACGGGCCCCTATTGTCCCAACTTCTAAAAAGGTCCTAGCAACTGAGACCTCCAAAGAGGCTTCAACAGCTCCATCTCCCAAAGGGACTCCTACTATCTCTTCTGTGGTTCCTATCTCCTCCAAAGAGATACCAACAACCTCATTTTCCCAGAGATCCCAAGCTCCCAAGGAGACCTTAGAAACTTCAACCTCCAAAGGAGCTGTCACCCCCACAATTAACTCTCCTTTAGCTCAGAAAAGGGCCCCATCCTCCAAAGAGGTTCCCATTCTCTCATCTATCACTCCTTACCCTAAAGACTCCCCTCCTAGCACAGGGACGGTTAGCCCTCAGGCATCTGAAAAGCTCCCAGCAAAAGATCCTGCAGCTCTCAAAGAGGCACTTGCTGCACCCACTCCAGAAAGTGCATTGGTCATCACTACTCCCGTTCATAAAGGCCCAAAAGCCAAGAAGAATTCTTCCCCTCCTAAGTGCTCAGATCCTTCCACTAAGAAAGATACAAAGGGCCTCCTTTCTGCAGTAGCTCTAGCACCTCAGACAGTTACTGTTGAGAAAGACTCTTCAAAATCTGCAAAAGCTCTGCCTGTTTGCCCTGCAAAAGGCAATGTTTGTCTTCATTCCCCAAAGGGTCCCGAGGGTGCTTCTCCTCAGTCTCAGATAGCTACCCCTACGACAGCAGTAACTTTTGACAAAGCCCTCCCTGAAGCTGGATCAGCACCTGTGACTCCAAAGCCTACCCTACCAGCTCCCTTGACTCTTGCTCCCTCCCCAGTTCCCCCTCTGCTTCCTAAACAGCCATTTCTTCAGTCCTCATCTGGGTCAGTGCTGGAATCGCCCTCTAAGCTCCCAGCCCCTGCTGATGAGGATGAACTGCCGCCTCTGATTCCCCCTGAAGTGGTCTCTGGGGGAGTGCCTTTCCAGCCGGTCCTCGTCAACATGCCCACCCCTAAACCTGCTGGGATCCCTGCCCCAGCCCCCTCTGCCAAGCATCCTGTTCTGAAGAACGACAAGGGTATTTGCCTTGGTTTGCTGTGTGCATGGTGTGTTGCCCACACCCCTCTTGGGGGCTGCCCACCAATACTAACTAGGGTGCGTCGCTTTGTATAGTATGTCTGCTTGAGTATGGGCATAGTACATAGAAGGGTAACTTTAAATGTAGAAGCTCTAGGAATATGGTACTAAATCTTGGTTTCTATCATCTCAGATAGTATTTTGTGTCTTGTGTAAAGTGAGACAGGCTAAGCCCTGAATCTAACCATCCTTTTTGGCCTAACTGAGCTGATAGTAAAAACCAAGCCCTACCAGGTCTTTAATTTACTCTAGTTCTTACCACATCACTAACCTTGTCCCTGGGCCTGGAATTTGCTTTTTTTGAAAAATAAACAAAGGAAATCTTGAAACTATTTCTTATATTACTTTTTAGACTTAGTAACTACCAGTTGCCCAGGGGCTTCCTTTTCTTAAAAATGTAGAGACCTGCGTTTTCCTGGCCTAAGGCTGGTGTGGGTGTATGCTTTCCTCCCCTTTCAGTAGAATTTACTGTTGCTTGGCCTTTCAATTGAAGGAAAATTAAGAAATGTAAATTGTATTTGGAAGTGGGGAGATACTGGTCTGTATTTAATAGAGGTGAGAACTGTTAGAGCTTAACACCATGGAGGCATTCCAGTGATGGGGTAAAATTCTTTGGGTGAGTGGTTTGAAAGGCAGAATGTGTGTACACAGCTGCTTCTGACCTTGCAAACCCATTTAAAAGGCTCTTACTCACTTAATTCTATCAAAAGATGCCTTTTGTCTGTACATTTCTGGATGACTGGGCTGGGGATAAAATTTGAATCACATGAATGCTTAGTGTTTGTGCCAAGAAATGAAGACCTTAAGGAAAGCAGGCAGTTATTGCATATGAGCTGCCTAGCTGTGTCTGGTGACTGTCCCACATCTCTGAGAATGGTTCTTCAATGGCATCCTATAAGTTGGAGGCCTCAGACTGGGTCACAGAAGCCAATCGCCTTTATTTAGCTTTGTGTGGGGCCTTGCATGAAACAGCGATAAATAGTTTAGGTGGGCCATGATGAAGTGCTGCCTAAGAACTCTGCTTTTGAAAATGATAAGTTACTTGTCCTCTTAGGGTCGGGAACAGAATCTGACAGTGATGAGTCAGTACCAGAGCTCGAGGAACAAGACTCCACACAGACAGCCACACAACAAGCCCAGGTAGGTGTTGCCTTTATAACTTAAATTGAGTCAAGAAAGTACTAGAAGACAACTGTGATGGCCAGCACTTTGAAGGCTGAGGCCGAAGTGTTGAGTAAGACAATGTCTCAAAAGAAAAGATCAGAGGATCTGGAGACCAAGATTATAACAGGCATGACTATTTAAACTGTGAATCTTTGTAAAACAAAACCACATGGAAACAAGCATCCTGAACTTTGGATCTGTTCAACTCAAAACTGTTTTCTTAGCTGGCGGCAGCAGCTGAAATCGATGAAGAGCCAGTCAGTAAAGCAAAGCAGAGCCGGAGTGAAAAGAAAGCACGGAAGGTAAGATGGGGTTAAAATAGAAAGCCATAATCCCAGCACTTGGGGCAGAAAGGCAGAAGGATTTGGCCTTAAGGGATAGCTGTGTGGCTAGTTTAGGGTCATGGGACTGTCTCTGCAAAAAGGGCGCCTGTGGGACAGCTCTCGGTAACTATAACTAGTCTTCTTTGCTTCATTGTGTAAGTTCAACCCAGAAAAGTCCGCTGTGGGTATTGAAGGTGGTGTTCTGCTGCTTGCTCCCCCAGCTGCTTCTAAAGTTAGAAACTTAATTTTCTTTCCTCTTCTTTAGGCTATGTCCAAACTGGGTCTTCGGCAGGTTACAGGGGTTACTAGAGTCACTATCCGGAAATCCAAAAATATCCTCTTCGTCATCACCAAACCAGATGTCTACAAGAGCCCAGCTTCAGACACCTACATCGTATTTGGAGAAGCCAAGGTTAGTGAGGTGCCCAGTGAGTCGCTCTAGAACACCGCTGTCAGTAGTTAAGGCCAGGTAGTCTTGTAGCGGTTGCTGTTGTTGCCCCTTCTCATACAGTTGTGATACCAAAAATCTGTAGACACAGCTAGCATACTTCTTTCTTTCTATGTGAGTCCAAAGGGAGGGCAAATCCTGTGTTTTTTACTCATGGGCCTCTCTTCTCTGCCCTCTAGATTGAAGATTTGTCTCAGCAAGCACAGTTAGCAGCTGCTGAGAAGTTCAAAGTTCAAGGTGAAGCTGTTTCAAACATTCAAGAAAATACTCAGACTCCGACAGTACAAGAGGAGAGTGAGGAGGAAGAGGTATGCCACAAAATCTTGTGGACTTTTATTTCATCTCTATGTGGCAGATCCTGCTCCAGACATTATTGGAGTTATTCTTTGATTTGTTAAGACTCTTTCCTCTCTTCCCCTCTTTAGGTTGATGAAACAGGTGTGGAAGTTAAGGACATAGAATTGGTCATGTCACAGGCGAATGTGTCCAGAGCAAAGGCAGTCCGAGCCCTGAAAAACAACAGTAATGATATTGTAAATGCTATTATGGTAAGTTCTTACCTCCCTCCACTGTGTGCAGTGACAGTCATTCCAAGGCCGGGATTGTGTTAGACTAGAGTGACCTGAATCCTTTACCTCTGCCTTTAATGCCTCTAATTCTCTCTCTCTCTCTCTCTCTCTCTTTTTTTTTCTTTTTACAGGAATTAACAATGTAACTATTTGACAGCAAGGACACTCCCCATCCCCTCCCCCCTTTTTGGTGTTTCAAAGGTGGAACTGCAGCTTGGTTTGAAATTTGTACTGTTTCTATCACTAATAAAGTTATGGCTTCTTGTTGGATGAACTCAGTAGGTGCTTGATCTTTTCCCTGAAAGTTTTTTGAGGGGGGGATGTTTTGTTTTAGTTTGGTTTGGGTTTTGTTGTCATTTTTGCTTTTTTGAGGCAGTCTCTCTCTGTGTAACAGTCCTGACTGTCCAGGAATTCGCTTTATAGACCAGGCTGACCTCGAACTCACAAAGATCACCTGCCTCTGCCTCCCGAGCCCAGCTCTTCCCAGAAAGTAAACTGAAGATGCTTAATTTTTAAAACCACTACCGCCTACAGACACACGCACGCATACTCAAACTTTCTGTCAGTGTATACTATATGGGAAAAGTTCTTTTTTAGAAACTTGATTTGACAGGCAAAGTAGTGCACACATTTAATCCCACCATTTAGGAGAGAGAAGGATCTGAGTTTCTGCATAGTGAGTTTTAGAGCTACATCATGGAGAGATCCTATCTTACCCCCCCCCAAAAAAAAAAACAAATTTTTTTTCAATATCTAAGTGACAAAATATCAATAAACTTTTTTTTTATGTTGCTTTTTGAGAAGAGCTCAAACTATAGCCCAGGCTGGCCTAAAATTCATATATCTCAGGAGAACTCAAATTCATGACTATTCTTTGGCACACCAGTTTACTATATTTTGGGATTACAGTTAAGACCCACCCACCCACCACACCTGCTTAAGGTTTTGTAATGTTAGCAGTACTGGCTTCTCTCCCAGAGGATTCAGGTTCAGTACTGTCTATGATGTGAGCCCAGGCGATCCAAAACCCTCTTCAAATCTGGCACTGGGCAGGCACCCAGGTGATGCACAGGCAAACAAGTCTTTTCAAAAATTGCTGCATTTATCTGTGGGAGGAGGCAGTACGTGCCATGGAGCACCATGAAGGCAAAGAGACAGCATGCAAGTTCTCCCCCCTCCATGGGACTGGGCAATCAAACTTATTAGGTGTTGGGCTTATTCATTGACTGAGCCACTTGTGCCAACCACCCAATTGTTTTGTTTTGAGACTTCATCTCTGCATATCCCTCACTGGTCTGGAAGTCATTAGGTAGATCATGCTTTTCTTGAATTCGCAAAGATCTGCTTCCCAAGTGCACAACCTCTCACCATTTTTGAGAGCTACTATGTGCCAGGGGTTGGATATACATACTCAAAAAACTTACTCATCCATGTCTTAGGGTTCCTATTGTGTAGAGACACCATGACCATGCATGTGAGACTCACCCCTTGACCAGCAAGCGGGAACGACCACGAAATCGAGAATTCTTCCCAAATCACAGCTTTATTGGAGCACTCGGTTGAAGGGGGGATGGGGACGAGAGAGAGAGAGAGAGAGAGAGAGAGAGAGAGAGAGAGAGAGAGAGAGCCAAAAGGCAGCCACTTTTCTAGGGTGGAGAGGCTCGGATACTGATTGGTTAATACCATTCCCCTGAAGCCCGGGTTTCAGGATAGGCTAGGGAACCAAGGCTCAGTTATGCAAAATACAGGCCCAGGGCGCGTTCCGGCCCACCTGGCAACATCAAAAGGATCTGTTTACCTCCAAGCTGCAGGACTCCTGACTTTGCCTCCTGAGTACTGGATTTAAAGGCATGCGCCACCACTGCTTGGGTGACCACAGTAACTCTTATACAAGAAAGCATCTAATTGGGGCTGGCTTACAGTTTCCAATATCTAGTCATGGTGGGGAGCATGGGGCATGCAGGTAGACATGGAGTAATGTGTCAGGATTGGTGGACAGCTTAAAGAGAATACCATACTCGACCTGGTTTGATCACATGAGACCTCAAAGTGACATTCTTCCTCAAGCAACAAACACCATGCCTACTCCAACAAAACCTTTTAGTAGTGCCACTCCCTATATGGGACTATGGGGGCCATCTTTACTCATGACAAGAATGACCTTCCTTGCTGGGTGTGGTATCATGGTATCTGTAACTGTAACCCCAGCTCTCAAGGTGCTGAAGCAGAGGATCATGAGTTCAGGGCCAGCCTATATTAGTTTCAAGCCAATTTAGGCCTCAAAAGTTGAAGCCTGTCTCCAAAAGGCCTATAAAAAATATTACCTCAAGGGCTGGAGAGATAGCTCAGCCGTTAAAGGCTAGGCTCATAACCAAAACAAAAATTTTACCTCAAGCTATTCAGCTTTCTGTTACTTTAACAAGATAGAGGAAAATCAGTTTATGCCTAACATGGTGTCATGCACAATAATAGCACTTGAGATATAGAAACAGGAAGATGGGGTGTTCAAGATTTTCCATGGCTACGTGCCAAGTTTGAGACTTGATATAAGAAACTCAAAAAAGGGACAACATTAAGTGAAGGAATGTTGATTTTGTTCAGCTTAGACTATTGGAAGGTTGAACACGAAGGCTGGGAGGAAGTGGAACAAAACTGCTTGCATACTGGAAACTAGAAAGCAAAGAAAGGAGAGGGACCCTTAGGTGTTTTCTACAGTTTATATATCAGAAAGGGACAAAGCCTTCATTGAACATGTAAGCTTTTAGGGTTGATTTAAGACACTAGGCCTGGTGGAAGAGGCAGGAGGATCTCTGATTTTGAAGCCAGCCTGGTGTACATAGCAAGTTCCATGTTTGCCAGGGCTACACACTAAAACCATGTCTTAAAAACAAGTCTCAAGCCAAGCAGTGGTGGTGCAAGCATTTAATCCCAGCACTCAGGAGGCAGAGGCAGGTAGAGCTGTGATTCTGGGCCAGCCAAGGCTATACAGAGAAACTCAAAAAACAAGAAGTCTCCGCTCAGTCTCATTAAAAGGGGTGGGAGGACTCCTTAAATAGGTGTGTAGTGCTTGTCAATTTAGTCCTGAATTCTCTCCAACCCCTTGGCCTATCCTCCACTCCATATACACTGTCTCCTAAACTCTCACCACATTGAACTTTAAGGAAATTGCTTTTTTACATTTATCAATTTTATATGTATGAGTGTTTTGCCTGCATGTATGTCTTTGTACTACTCGCATGCGGTGCCTGAGGAGTTATAGATGGTTATTTATTTACACATGGTTGTTGGGAATTGAGTCTGGATCCTCTGAGTAAGCAGTTGAGTCGCCTGTCTACCCTACAGTTTCTTGAAAATATACTGAATTTGCTTTACATATTATAGCCAGGGCTCTTTTCTTTTTGGCTTTATGAGGCTGGCTTCAAACTCAGTATGACCTTTAACCAGTAAACCACAGCCACGTGGCAATACAGAATAATAGAAATAGGTTAAATTAAGATGTAAGCGTTAGCCAATAAGAAGCTAGAGTTAATTGGTCAAACAGTGATTTAATTAACACAGTTTCTATGTGGTTATTTCGGGGCTGAGCAGACAGGAACAAAGAAGGGGCTCCTTAAAACATCAGGCGGTGGTGGTGCATGCCTTTAATCCCAGCACTAGGGAGACAGGAGGATCTATGTGTGTTCAAGTCCAGCCTGGTCTACAAATTGAATTCCAGGAAAGCCAGGGCTACAACAGAGAAAAAAAGCAAAAAAAAAGAATAGGTTCAGATCCTTGGTAGTACCGAGGCAGTAAAGGAAGGATCCCTGGGGCTTGATGGCCAGATATTCTAGCCAAATTCATCTTCTCCAGGTCCTGTGAGAGACCATGTCTCAAAGCTGGGCGGTGATGGCGCACACCTTTAGTCTCAGCACTTGGGAGGCAGAGGTAGGTGGATCTGTTGAGCTTGAGGCTATCCTGGTCTACAAGAGCTCCAGGATAGGCTCCAGAGCTACAATGAAATCCTGTCTGGAAAAAACAAACAAAAAAGCAACCAATCAACCAAACAAACAAAAATAGACCCTGTTTCAAAATAAAACATTGCAGGGGCTGGAGAGATAGCTCAGAGGGTAAGAGCTGGCTGCTCTTCCAGAGGTCCTGAGTTCAAATCCCAGCAACCACATGGTGGCTCACAACCATCTGTAATATAATGAGACCTGCCTGGTGCCTTCCTTGCCAGCAGTACATGTATCGTTAATAAATTCTTAAAGGGAGCAATGATCCATATTCCACGAGACAGCTTGCAGAAGCTGCCTGACAGGTACTCTCCCAGGTAGAGTATGCTATACAGAAACAGCAAGTACATTATATTAATTATGATCAGCCTCGGCAAGCATGTATATTACCTACAAAACTCCTACAGTAGTTTTATGGCAAAACAGTCCACTTTTGTGGCTATACCATCCCATTTCACCAGTTAAGGTATTAAACCCCTATTTTTTTTTAATATTTATTTATTTATTATATATACAGCATTCCTTCTATGGCCCGAAGAGGGCACCAGACCTCATTACAGATGGTTGTGAGCCACCATATGGTTGCTGGGAATTGAACTCAGGACCTTTGGAAGAGCAGGCAATGCTCTTAGCCTCTGAGCCATCTCTCCAGCCCTTAAACCCTTATTTTGAAGTAGTAGCTTGCCTAGCACAGAAGAGCAGGGTAGAATCAAAGGGATATTTTGGCAAAGAACCAGCTATGATCAATGTTCCTTATACTAAGCAACAGAATGATTAGTTATTCCAAAATAGTGATTTTTAGGCAATTGTGTTTGCTCACTTTGAAGGCCAGATTGCTAATCTTTTTTCAGCTGATCCATTACTGCAATTCATACAACTACATTTCTTTATTTTCCCTAAAGATGTAGCAAAGATCCCTTAAAGGATGCTATGTTAATTTTTTAAATTTTTTTTAAAAATTTTTTTGGGGGTTTTTTTGTTTCATTTTTTGAGACAGGGTTTCTTTGTAGCTTTGGAGCCTGTCCTGGAACTAGCTCTTGTAGACCAGGCTGGCCTCGAACTCTCAAAGATCTGCCTGCCTCTGCCTCCTGAGTGCTGGGATTAAAGGCATGAACCACAACCGCACAGCTTGGCTATAAGTTTCAACAAAAGTTCCAATCTCTTAGGATAGTTTTATAATTCTGCTTTGCCACAGAGATAATGCATACTTCTTTGCAATGATATTTTTTTCAATATTTTTCTTTCTAAAATCTTCTAAAGCCTCTTCTTTCCTCTAGAAATATTGT